TAATTCATCAGAATCTGTCAATAATTAAATTAAAAGTCATGACGCGTGATTGCATTAATATGGCACATAACGGATCATCTCTCTGATGTTCAACTGCCTCAATACCTTAGGAGAGAATCGGATGATAATGGATATCAAGCAGCTCTCGTGATGACGTCCAGCCAACGAGGAGTTGTACCTCCTAGATCTCTCCTCCTTCTATCTAAATATTCTGTCCGGCCCTGGTCGATAAGGCTCCTCCATGGAGCTCTCATTTTGACATGTGCTCAAAATATCTCATGATTCGTATTGGTAAGAGAGAGAAAGAGAGATAGAGAGACCATAATCTATATATAAAAATGAATTGCTGTTCGTTAGTCTCGCTAAAACTCGAAAACGGCTGGACCGATTTGGCTAATTTTAGTCTTGAATTATTTGTGGAAGTCCAGAGAAGGTTTAAAAGGTAGATAAATATGAAAATGCTCGGAATTAAACAAAAATATAATAACAATTTTGTTTTTCCTTTGATGTGACGGATTCCTTTTGTTTGTTTTAAGTTTATTTTATACAAAAGTTTTAGTCTTTTATTTATCGATTGAGGCACTACGAAGTCTGCTGGGTCAGCTAGTTAGTTACTAAAAATCGGATTCATTTTACAATATTAAGAAGAAAAAAAAATATAATTTTGTAGGCAGACGAGCATACGGCTCACCTGATGGTGAATGGTGGTATTAGTGGTGGTGATGGTGAGGGGAGGGGAAAGTGGAATAAGTATAAATAAAATAAATAACTAAATAAGTGGCTTTGTTTGCGATATAAGCCACCTGCGTTTAGGGCTCTAGAGCGAGAAATATCCCCACGAATCGCAACCAGTCAAGAATGACTGATTCTTTCAGCACCAGATTCTTAATCCAAACCAGGACTTCTACATGAAAAACAAAGTTCTCATTTAAAGAAAAATCTTTTTAAATACCAAAAAAACACGCCAAGTATGTTCATTATCTGAGCCAACCAAACAAATAAAGAACTGAAACCCAACTTAAATTCGGTACGCATACCAATATACAGGCTCCTCTCACAAGGATCCATCAATGGCTACCAAATTTACACTCTATTAAGGGACGGTGATTCAGCAAATGGGCTTAAGAGGGTAGCTGGCGCCATGGGGATGTTGCACGTTATGTTAAACTTATTATGCTGTGGTTAACATTAGATGGAAGTCGGCTGTAAATGTTACTTGTTGAAAACTTTGGTATTTTACATTATGATGCCATAATTTAGTAGCATTATGAGTAAACTAATGATGTTTATCATTGGTCTACATACTGGCATACATATATGTATTGTTACACGCTGGGGTTTGGGATAAATAAAACTTCCACCGAAGTATAATTTAAAACTGTATTTAACACTTAGAGCACTTACAGAATGCTTTACAATATGTAATTCACTTCTTCCGCTTCGCTTCAGGTGATTCGTTCGCTGTTCCGTTTCGTGTAGATCCGATTACTAACTGCTTCGTGTCATCTCTGCAACGCTTTTATAGTCGATACGACATTTCTACAATTTCGAGAACATTCCCGGCAAGTCGAGTAGTTTCGATATGTGTTTCCGCTATTTTATAATAGATGGCGTTGCACTTCTCGAGCGTTCTCGATTTTACTAGTTGTCTTGATATTCGTTACTGCTATTCGACGAAAGATGGCGTTACTCTTAACGGCGTAACGCATATAATTATGTATGTTTCAAAATGCTATTGACATTTCCATCTCAAGATAACAAGCTATATTCAAATTGTTGTAATATCTGCATACTTCGGAGGTTTGTAAGATTAGCCTTAGGGCTTAACCAATCTAGAGCAGTTTATGCAATGGTAAGTTATAAGCAATTATTAAAACAACTTTTATCTTTAATCACAGTATCAGTTTTCATTTGTTATTTTCATTTTATTATTCGTGGTACCTAACCGTCCGTTAGTTTTGTCATGTTAATTTATTATGACAACGGTTTTTGAAATAAATAAAGTTTCACTTATACAAATGCAAATTAAATGTGTTAGCTTTTAAAATGAACTCAGCCTATTTTGTCGTAATCGGCTTACAAATCTAGTGAAAAAAAAGTGTGTGTGTCCGCTCCGACGCACGACTGGAGTTTACTGGATATAAAAAATTAAACGAAACAATACGAGAAATAGTTCTATATTACGACAACACGATACACTACAGATTATTAACAAATTAACGAGACACAAAACAAACGACTAACAAATATATGAAAATACAATAATGAGAGAAACGCGCGATCAGTACGAGGCTTTGTGGCGGACTGCCGGCGCAGCAGCCCGGCGCATGTCACACGAAATGCGCATAACGCATTTCGCGTGACATGTTAGTACGATTTTGGTCCCCATAATTTTCATACCCCGGGCCTATATATGTAAATCGATTCTAAAGGAGAGTAAACTCCAAAAATGTGTTTATCTTCTCAATTATATTAAATCTTGATTAATCACAAAACGATACTCTCAGTATGTTTATTGGAGTTTACTCCTTTAGAATCGATTTACATATATAGGCCCGGGGTATGAAAATTATGGGGACCAAAATCGTACTAGCATGTCACACGAAATGCGTTATGCGCCTGATTGCGCATGTCACACGAAATGCGTTATCGCAGGTGACGCCGGGCTGCTGCGCCGGCAGTCCGCCACAAAGCCTCGTACTGATCGCGCGTTTCTCTCATTATTGTATTTTCATATATTTGTTAGTCGTTTGTTTTGTGTCTCGTTAATTTGTTAATAATCTGTAGTGTATCGTGTTGTCGTAATATAGAACTATTTCTCGTATTGTTTCGTTTAATTTTTTATATCCAGTAAACTCCAGTCGTGCGTCGGAGCGGACACACACACTTTTTTTTTTTTTATTTTTTTTTTTATTGCCTTTGTAGGCAGACGGGCATACGGCCCACCTGATGGTGAGTGGTTACCGTCGCCCATGGACTTCAGCAATGCCAGGGGCAGAGCCAAGCCGCTGCCTACCGCTTAATACTCTCCAAATCATGTAAAAATCAATTCGTTTATGTGATAGTGTGTTTAGTTTTCAATTTCTAATTCCTCTAGGTGCCTTCAGATTTTAAATGTCACACAAACAGTCCTCTTCCGAATCTTGGCTAGTTTGAAGAAAACTTTCTTCAACATTTTTCATGGACAATATGAGTCGTCTATTATCAAAGGTGGCAATCTGTGCATTTGAACAAAAAAATGTTATTGATATGTCAATACAGATTGATTTGAATATAATCGTCTCCTTCAAAGAATACGGTTCAAAACCTGCATTAAATAAAGGTTAATACTTAACCTGTTATTTATCTAAGATGTCGTTCAGAAGAGTTTTGTGAGTGCCAATGGAATACAAAGTCAATAATTCGTTTTTCTGATTTACCAATAATTGTCCAAAAGTCACATTGCCGGCTTTGATAATAGTCGACTCATATACTGTATAATATATATTTTTGGGACTTCCTCTTTCTTATTCCTTCTTCAATCCCCTATCCACGCCATCTATTGACACTACAAGAAAAACTACGCGTGTGAAAAAGGCGCGTAGAGTGTGTAAAAAAAAACATGGTGCCGTTGCAAAAACGATAAAATTGTGATTTATTGATCAATCAGCACATATAACTCTTGCCAGTGAGAAAATTGAATAGTGCATCAACGAATTACAGAGTGAGTCTTAAAACTTATCCTTTTCCCAGTCCCAAACATATCTAAATTCAAAACATATATATATATTCTGTCTATACCAAATCTATCAGCGTTATTCCCATCAACGAGGCACGTGGATTTATAAATATGTGTAAATTATGATAACCTTACATGCGTTTTATCTACTCTATAACTCAGTGTTAACGATGTCTGTAGCCCAGAGAGGGATTTAATCCTTAATACCCGAAGTTGCTCGTTGAATCGACACGTGCCTATAACGTGCGCTAGTAAAATACGTACCAAAACACTGGCTTAGAAGGATTGGAAATGGTTATTAAAAGACGAGTTTTTGGAGGTACTGGCGATTAAAGAGCCGGCTGCGGCGTGGCGGAAATCTAAGGACGGAAATCGAAATTTCAATCCGTACTATTATATTAGTATACTAACGACCCGCCCTCGCTTCGCTTCGCTTCGGAAACTTTAATTTATTAATGATTTCTCCACTATTTAATGGATGTTATTATACAAATAAACGTTCCTTTTCAATCACTCTATCTATTAAAAAAAACCGCATCGAAATCCGTTGCGTAGTTTTAAAGATTTAAGCATACATATGGACAGATTTAAGGACAGAGAAAGCGACTTTGTTTTATACTATGTAGTGATAACGTACATACGAAAGTAACTGTTTATCTCATGATCCGAATTAAGTTTTCACAACTGAATACATGACCGGATTTTAACGGAATTCAATATGAAAATAGTTTGAGCCCAGGCAAAGAGTTTATATAAAGGTCACCTTTGATCTCATTGCTGAGCACGGACGAACGCGAAATAAAATTTAACTAGTCCGCGGAAATAAAGCTGCGATTAAAAACTTTTTTAATATAAAATAATATAATGCATATCCCACATCGGTTAGCGTGGTATGGACATATGATGCGTAGAGAGGAGATGGATGTAATTAGGAGATGTATGGAAATGGTAGTGCAAGATAGACGGGGAAGAGTTCGACCGAAAAAGACATGTATGGAGTGTGTGAATAACGATATGAGAGAGAGAGGAGTGAGTGTTGAGGTGACGGCTGATAGAAGAGAATGGAATAAAAAAAAATTGCTGTGCTGACCCCACCTACTGGGATAAAGTGGAGACAAAGAAAAAGAAAGTTTATGATACGCCCTAAAACAAGAATATGCGCATTTTTTTTGAAGTTATTTTTACAGTTAATCCTTCCTCGTAGAAATTATTCGTAAACATATATTTTAAGGTCTCTTTCTTCAAATACATCTAGACTAGATTTTAATACTTATATCCTCACCGCATTTAAAGCTTCCATTTCGTGTGGGCTCAACTTATACGAGGCGTCAGGACACACGAGTTGAGGTGTACACCTGTAAGGAAAGAACAGTTATTGTAATGACATACTTTAAAAATCGAAAATACACATTTACTGGTGGTAGGACCTCTCTTGTAAGTCCACACGGGTAGGTACCACCGCCCCGCCTATTTCTGCCGCGAAGCAGTAATGCGTTTCGGTTTGAAGGGTGGAGCAGCCGTTGTAACTATACTGAGACCTTAGAACTTATATCTCAAGGTGTATGGTGGCATTTACGTTGTGGATGTCTATGGGCTCCAGTAATCACTTAACACCACGTGAGCTGTAAGCTAGTCCACACACGTAAGCAATAAAAAAAATTGTTGAACTACACACATACGAGTTTCCTTTTTTTAAACATTAAATAAAACATTACTTTCTTTGTCTTAAATTGAAGTAATATCACATAGTAGATATTGATATTGGACTCGGGTAATCCGTTATTGTCAGGATGACTTTGAGCTCGTCCCCACATTTTCACAAATAAATCAAAATATTTAACCATGCAAATTAATAAACTGAATATTACTGTGGATAGTGAATTCGGAATTATTTTATGGAGATCCACATTCACCGGCTATAGTTCCTTTAATTATTAACATTCATATACGTTGCTGAGTGAATTTATGAATGTGTGGCTCTCGGCTAAAGGTACGGTACCACTATGAGCGTGGCTTAATAATAATTGTGAATTTCAAAATATTTTTTTAGCTAACTTAACCTAATAGTGTATGGCTCTAATAAAGAATAAAAAAATGTATATTTTAATGATTATTTGAAATTACCGATGCTCTTGGGCATAGGTAATGCCAGTCAATCCGCTGCCCACCCAAATTTAATTATAATTTTGTGTATGGTTTACGAATATTATTTGATAAGCAACATTTTGTCCTTTGACTCAATAAATAGCTAAATAATGCAGTCGATGTAGTGTTTTAGTTGTGCCATGATCAAGAAAACTCTTACTATGGATTTTAATTTGAATAGGAAATCTAGATAGCGAAAAGTTTGAAACTATGAGATGATAAAAGTCAATGAAACGTTACCTTAATCATCACAGAGCAATCATATACATCAGAATTCATATCTCGCATACTAATCAGGAAAATTAAAAACACTATTTAAACAAATACATCAATTTTGTCTGAGTTGACGGTGCAGTAGTTAGTTGAGCCGAGGGTTGTGAGTTCGATTCCCACATCGGGCAAACATTCATGTGACGAACATGTTTGTTTGCCCTTTGTCTGTGAACGGTCGGTTCGTTCGCTTGTCGTCTATTTTATGTAGATATGGTACTGGTGGTAGGACCTCTTGTGAGACTGCCCGGGTAGGTACCACCGCCCTGCCTATTTCTGCGCGTGAAGCGGTAAAGCGTTTCGGTTTGAAGGGTGGGGCAGCCGTTGTAACTATACTTGAGACCTTAGAACTTATATCTCAAGGTGGGTGGCGCATTTACGCTGTGGATGTCTATAGGATCCAGTAAAAAAATAAATAAAAATATATAAATATAGAACGGTCAATTCGTTCGTTGTCATATGATTCGTGTCCATCTTTTAGGAAGGCATTAAAAGTACTGCATGCCGCTAGTCACGTCCACCCTCGTTCCATTTCTTTCTTTTGTTTCTTTTCGAATTCTTGTCAAGTCTCTATCTAGTCGTCGTAGGTCTTATATCCTGTCAAAGAGGTTGCACGCCACAGCAGTCTGGGTGTTTATTAAATATATATATGGATATATTTAAACGTATGTAGATCAGTCTCTGGTACCCATAACAGGGAATCCTAATTTGAGGCAGGATGACCGTTTGTGATTTGTTTCCCAACTATTTACAATACGTAAAACTTTTACAATTGAATCTTGCATTGATTTGTTTTTGTTAGCAGCGGGGTAACGCATAAGAAAAACAGCTTAAGTACCAAAACTATCTACAGGAAAACGCATGTTTATTCCCGCTCGAAGTCGGGCCATACCCGACCCAGGTAAGACAAATACGCTCATTTCCTGCGGAGACCGCGCCCGAACGTCCGTGCGCCGACAAATTGTGCCGACGTGCCTTATTCTGTTCGCATCCTGTCATTTGCCACTTCTTCAATATATTTCAATAACAAATAAATTCTCTTTTTTATTTTTTTATTGCATAGATAGGTAGACGAGCTCACAGTCCACTTGATGTCAAATGGTTACTGGAGCCCACAGACATCTACAACGCAAATGCCGCTACCCACCTTGAGATATGAGTTCTAAGGTTTCAGCATAGTTACTAAATTGATAAAACTATGAAAGCGCTTGCCTTTCAACTAATAACTATTAATTTTATTATCGCTTTTTTTCACATAATTTTATCGTCCCATATGCTGTTTGTTTCTCAACGAATAAAATATAGATGGAATTCATAAAATTTAAATAGAATAACTCCGTGCGGCCTCAAGAGCCAAATGACTGAAACTTTACCGGCTCCTCTTATTTATTACGCGTGAGCTTTAAGGAATTTAAGTTTTTCAAGTAAACGGATGGGTTCAGGATCTGACTTTGCATGAGGAGTTTAGTGATAACGGAATTCCACAGAAATACATTAATACGGTATAGCATTACTGCCGCGAAACAGCTATACGTTGGATTTGGGAAGGTCACCCGATATCCTTAGGTCTTAATTTTTTCCCTACCCATTCACTGGTAGCTTAAAGGGGTTATTCCAGCGACGGGTAGGTGAGCTCACGGGCTCAAACTGAAAGAGTTTGTTAACACTAGCTCTAGCTCTTTTACTGGTGCAGGACCTCTTGTGAGTCCGGACGGGTAGGTACTACCATCATCATCATCATCTTAGGCCTTACAGCCCAGGGTAGGCCTTAACCTGGTCCAGTATGTCTCTCCAGACTGCTCTGTTCAGGACTTTCTCTTTCCAGTTTCTGACGCCGTTGCAGCCGTTGTACTGAGAAAACTGAGACCTTATGACTCGAGATAGGTGGCGGCATTTACGTAACCACTTAACATCAGTTGGGCCGTGAGCTCGTCCACCTATCTAAGCAATAAAAAAATTAAAAAACTAAAGTAGTGCTTCGCAGAATCTACCGCCGGATCGGAATGGCGAACCACTGAGAAGATCCGTCGAGAAACTCAGCGACTTTATTGTCCCGTTTTTTTTTTCTTTGCTCCGTCATTAGAATAGTAGAGATGTCATAAGTAAAACAAATTTTACGTATACTTTAATAGGTACTTTACACTTTTCGAGGTCAGGGCGGACTGAGTCGTTTTAATTAAAACTAGCGGCCCGCCCCGGCTTCGCTTGGGAAATAGCGCACGCAATGTAAAGAATTTTAGGTAATTTTTTTACACATTGAATTACATTATTGAAATTTCAGTAAGGAACCCAAATTTTTTGAAAATGTAATAAATATAGCCTATGGCACCCGGCCCATAGCGTAGCTTTCGAACAGAAATATTTTTTTAAATCGGTTCAGTGGTTTCGGAGCCTATTCAATACAAACAAACAAACAAATCTTTCCTCTTTATAATATTAGTATAGATAACAGAAAAAAATTAGTTTAAATTATGTACACGATTTTCAAAAGTCGAAAATAATACTATGGTAGGGATGTTGTTGTATCAATACGGTATAGCAATTTAAAAGATTTTTCTTCATGCAGATATTACCATAGATTTTCACGCCACTAATGAGGATGTGGGACATCTAAAACTTACCTCATCTCTAGAAAAATTTCCTTCCCATTTCACATCGACCGATTGACGTTCAAATACTGCGTTGCAATTTAATATTATTCAATTGACCCCAATGTTTACTAGATAGAAAATAGTATTTTTATTCTTAGATATTTTAATAAAAGGATACACCTCCATTTATAATATTTTTATCTACAAGATCTACCTTTGTAACCAATAAAATAAAAATTGGCACATTTGACTTCGGCCATCCCGATTTTATAGCAACTTGCAACTTTTGCAACAAACCAAACAAAACTAAACACACATTCATATTCATACTAGTTTCAATATCATACAGAGTTTCATAAAGGCGAATGCAGTTTTATGTTTTCGTGAATTGTAATAAATATGAAATTCGTTTGACAATCTTTTCAATTCCTGTTTGTTTACTTGAAGGTTTTATGGTACCTAAGGAAATAGTATGCGAAAATTTCTGAAGCTTCCTAACTTTTGTGTATTGAGATATACGTATAGAGATAAAACTAGACAAAACAATATCAGGCAGCGCAGGACCGATCTTTGTGGCGAGGCTTGGGGGAGGCCTAAGTCCAGCACTCGACGGCTGTGGGCTGATAAGAATACGAAGAAGAACAGTATCTTCTTCAGTTCGCTGCGATGAATCAATCTTCCTCTCATATAGGACCAACGAATCAGGAATAAACCTATTGTTGCTTAAATAATCGTGATATAAGAAATTACGTCATAGCGATTATAATATTATATAGCGTTTCTTATTAACGACAAACTCGCTAAGCCATGGCCGCATCTTACCGCCTCCAAATATTGCTAGGACTGCAGAAAACTAGATATCACCCAAATAAAACTAATTTTACGGTTTAATCTTGCTTTTATCATTTTCTTGACTTGATATTTGAATATTGAGCTAACCAACCGTCAAATCCTGTAATTATGCTCAAAATCATTCATCAGCCTTTTAGCAACATTCCTTTTTTCTCCAACATTCTCACATCCCTAGCTTCTAATTTTAACAACGATGGAGGCTATTTTGGGATCTTCTCTTACTCATTCTTCACCACATTCGTCTAACTCCACAGATCTATCTATATTAACTTTTGCAACTCCTCGGACTCAATACGTAATCTACGTATCGTAACCTGTTTTAGGAGCCCGACATTCTGCTTCATATTTATCGAACTCGTAACCTTAAAATAACCCTACTCTTCAGTGTATAAATGTCTATAATATCGTCCCCCCCCCCCAAAACATCTTTAAGTCCAGACGTCTGCTGCCTCAGGGTACCCTTTCTCATTAATATGCCATCGCAGTAGCCTGACCTC